GAAGCATGAACAGTCAGATCATCTTTTGAAGCTTGGTATCTGAAACAAGGAGTAAAGAGAGAATCGAAATTGAGATTCAATTCATTGTTAGCTAGAAAAGAAAAAACTCTCATTACAACAGTGGCACTGTTCTGCACTCTACAAAGCCATGCTTCCATTGCCTACGTTTATGATATGAGAAGTTCAACTCTACGCAACATATTCCACAACTATGGTACAACCACACAGTAGCTTACAGAATTGATACTACTAATTCAGAAAATCTTCTCTCGCTCTTTTCCAGGATAGTGAGTCATTTTATATCTATCAAAACATAAATAGGTTATCTACATTACATACAAATGAGATTTCAAATAAATTATGCAACACAAATAAGTTTCTCAGGTTCAGGCAGGTGTCAAGAGTGCTCAAGCAGTTATCATTAAGTACAAGCATGTTGTAGAATGTTAATTGAATTAAAATGATTGATGTGCAAAGGAACAGCAACAAAGTTTAACTAAGATTTATCCAATGAATCACATGTTTCATGCCCAGGCAGTTATCGTTAAGCATAAGCATGTTGTAGAATAATAGTTGAATTAAAACGATTGATCCGCAAAGGAACAGCAACAAACTAAAATTATTCAATGCATCACATGGTTCAGTTTTTATTTTGATTATTCTCTAGATATAAATAGAAGAGTAAAAACAAAAGTAGAAAATCCATTTAATAAATCTCCTTCGGGACAAATTCTCCAACTCGTATTCTTTTCATAATTTATGAAATAGAAAACTAGTCCTAATAAGGCGCCTCACAAAAAAATAAAATAATAGCAACAAATAAAAAAATCTAAATCCAATAAAAACATTAAAAATACTCTAAAATGAAGTACAATTACCCTGTGATGTAACTGCGAGTTAAAAGGTAATCATCAAGCTTCTTGAGCCCAGCATCTGAGCCGAGGTTGTAGAATGCGACGGCCATTGCTTAATAGTAATACTCAGATCTGATATAATTTAATTTGATTCAACCAAAAGGTATTACAAGATTGAATTAAAAGTGAAAATCTATGAAATTTTCAAGCTGTGTGTAGAGAGAGACTCACATGACCAGTGCTGGAGGCGTAGAGCTTGGAGTGAAACTTGGGAGTACGGAGAAAAATTAGGGTTTCATTGAGCATATAAATGGCACGAGGAATTTTGGTTATTTCTACTCAGCCCCTCGATTATCGTGATTAATGATAATCACCCCCTACAGATTGCAGAAATGAAAATTCATTTTTGTGGCCCAATATATATATAGCTCATAAGGCAAGCCCGTCCATCTTGGGCTGTGCTAGATTGACCCACGTGAACAAATTATCCCCAATTTCTTATTTTATTGAAATTAATAGCTTGTTTGATACAGCTAAAAATTCAATTAAAATCAATTTTTTATCATTATTTTATTATTACAGTCTTTATTTTTTAATTCTTCTCTCATCGATATGACCCACTTTATCTCTAACTATCAGAAAATCAATTATTAAAATCACTACCAAACAAATACTATAAATATGTAAGAGGGTTGTAAACTATAATTTCAAAATTAAGAGATTAGGTCAATATTACAAAAATTAGGTCTTAATTAAAATTTATTCATTAAATAATTAATTAAAAAATATTTTGTTGATTAAGCCCATGTTTGGCTCTCATTAGTCTCCATTAAATTATAATTCAATTTTCTCAACTTTTCTTATCAACCATACATTTTTCAATAAAATAACATGTAAATCCAAAAAAAAATATTTTTTTAACCACACATTCTCCACAAATTTATTATTTCTCTCATTATAATGTGGAATAATGGAGGCCAAACGGATACTAAATACACTAAGGTCACAACGTTATATAATTTATGGTCACAACTACTTACTGGTTATAATTACAGAAGTCACAGTCACAAATCACAAATTTTGTAGATCACAATTTATCAAATCAATAGGTCACGTATTAGTCATCGATCACAAATCATGAATTTTATAGGATTGAATTTATTTATTTATCACAAATTATCAAATTAGTTGGTCACGGTTATTTCTCGATCATCAATTATTAAAAATGGGCCAGAAATTAACAAACTTTGAGTCACGATTATAAATTTTGTCAGAATCTAACATTTTTTAGATCATGTATTATTTATTAGTTATAATCAACCAAATAATTGATCACAAACACTATTTTTCCCACCCACTACCCCCAACACCACCACCACAACTAGTCAACCACCATCTTATACCACACCATTGCCACCACCATCGACATTGGCATCGAATCCACCAACATTACTACCACCTCCACACCAGCATTGCTACTACATGCACCACCACCCTAAAAGTCATTGCACAACTACAGAAAAAGCAACACCATGCGACAAAAACCACAAACTGTAGTGAGCCTAGTGGACTCGTGCTGTCAACACAGACACTAGCAAATGCAGCGTCGTCACTACAGCAACGATGAGCACAAACGACGCCATTGCTATTGTAAAACAGTGTCGAGTGATACCGCTATCAGAGCGACGTTGCTGTAACAGCGGTCACAAGAGTGATTATGAGTACTGCGCTGACGGTGCCTCCGGCATGTTGTGCGAGAGAGAGAAGGGAAAGCGGAAAATGATTAGGGTTAGGAAGTGAAATTTGGTGGGGCCAGGTGGATACATAGATTAATTTTATTTTATAATATTATTATTAATATTAAACTTGGAATTATCAACTGTTTTTATTTTATTATAAATAAACTCCAAACTTAATTTTTGAAATTGAAACCTAAAAAACTTGGTTACATGTAATTTCCACAAAAGGAAATCCATATCCTTCTGATAGGCCCAACAGCCATCGAATAACCCAATAAAGGATAAATTGTTTTCAGAAATTTTCAAAAATAGCCATATTTTAGATTTAAGAGAGGGGTGAGGGGGGTACCGGAGGTGTACTAATTAATGGAATCCCAAAACCTACTTTCTTTCCTGACAAAATCACTTACGACTAAGGCTAATTCGAAACTTTCCCACTCCGAAGGTGGGGTTACTTAAAGATAAAAATAAAGTAAGAGCATGTTTGATAGGAAGGATTTTTCATGGAAAATGGAAAATGAATTCCATTTTCCAATTTTAAGAGTGTTTGACGACTCTTTTTTTCCATGAAAATACATTTCTTGGTTGTCTTGCCACATAGGATTTTTCAAGGTTTTGATTTTCCAAGTTACTGTAGCTATTTTTTTTCGTTTTTATTATTATTATTATTATTTTGTGTTATCAATGGAAACAAATTCTAAGAATTATTGTAAAAAAATATTTTCTTTTAATTGACAATATCCATGTAACAAAGCCAAACGAACACCCAAAGATAAATGATTTTCTTGAATTTTTTTGTTTGTTTTTTTTTTTTTTTTGGCAATGGAAACAAATTTCATTCCCTTGACCAGTAAATTATATCCCTCTAATTCACAATTTTCATGTAAAACAAAGTCAAACGGACATAAAAAAAAACACTTTAATTTAAATATTTTCCAAGTGGAAAATTATACCAATCAAACACAATAATTTATAATTTCCAGGAAAACTATTTCCCATCAATTCAATTTCTTGAAATTCGTTTTCTTTTCACTCAAATTCCACATTTACAATCAAACAGACCCTAAATGGAAAAAAATGTCTACCCAAATATCCCAGACTTGGTCGATAATCTAATGTTCAAAATTTAAAAGGCTTTTCTTCACTAGACAGAGTTAATACTATTAAAAATAATCATAAAGCTTGAGGAGATCAACTCTGCGAGACAATGGACTAGGCAACAAGGACAATAAAAGACGATTCAT